GTAAATATAGAAATTAAATGTATTATCCGTTAAATGTATTTATTGTAATATATAATTGATGCAGGAATATGGTGGAGACGGAAATGATTACAGTGGGATATTTGGACATGATGGTCCATTCGAAGAAGCTCAACAGGCGATTGATTGGGCAAAACATGTTGCAATTGCAGCTGGATTTTGCTTGGTAGTAGTAACTCATAAATCTCAACGGGATGGTAGAATGGATCGCATTTTGAGATGTGACCGTTATCGCAAAAGAGAAGAAAGAGATTTTCGTACAGCCACTCGGTTTGATACAAAGCGGAAAGGTTGTGGGTGTGAGTTCAGAGTAAAGGTTCGACAACTACGGAGTCGTGACGGTTGGGAAGTGATTGGTTACTCTAAATGGGGGTATCACAACCATGAGATGATAGCATATGAAGAGGGTCATCGACAACTGAGCGGCTTAAGTCCTGCTGCGAAACTAGTTGTGAAAGAAATGAGTGATGCTCAAGTGAAGCCTGCTAAAATATTAGCATCTGTGTTAGAGAAATTTCCAGAAGACCATCCAAACCGAAGACACATCTACAACGTCAGACAGCAACTCAGGTTTGAACGGTCAGAGGGAAGGAACCCTATACAGCAGCTGCTACACCAGGCACAATCACGTGGTTACCTGTTCTAGTTTGATTCTGATGAAGATACAACGGAGGTGACTCATCTTTTCCTTGTGCATCCTGATTGTGCTGATATGATCAAGTCTTGGCCATTTGTGATTTTGATCGACTCAACGTACAAGACAAACAAGTACAAGTTCCCACTGGTTGAGATCATGGGGATGACTCCAACGAACCAGAACTTTCTGATTGGTCATGCAATCATCAAGGATGAGACGGCTCCAAGTTATTATTGGGTGTTGGAAAAGCTGAGAAACTACATCGGGCCTAATGTTCATCCAGCAGCCATCGTCAGCGACTGTGAGGGAGGTCTCTTTGCCCCCATAGCAGAGCTGTTTCCCGAATCGAACCACTTATTGTGCACATGGCACATCAACAACTGCGTGAAAGTGAAAGCCTACAACCTTTTCAAGAAGAATTTGGAAATGGCAGAGAGATTGGTGAATGGTAAGTGGCGGAAGATCCTACAGGCTACCACAGAGGAAGCGTATGAGCGAGCATTGGCTAACTTCAGGGATTCGTACCAGTGGTGTCCGGCACTGGTGGACTATGTGATGCGTCAATGGGTCCCTCACAGGGAAAAGTTTGTCAAATATTGGACAAACCAGGTACTTCATTTTGGGAACACTACAACATGTAGAGTTGAGAGCGCTCATAGAGCTACCAAGGACCGGATTGATTCATCGACCGCTGCTTTGGATACACTGTTCGCTAGACTGAACAAGTCAATTGAAACTCAGAAGAACGACCTCAGGAACTCTCTAGAGGACTCCAGACGACGACATGGTACAATGTATAGCCATTTTATATTTAATATTCTCCAAGGTCGTGTGTCGCACTACTGCTTGGGGTTGATTCTCACTGAGCTGAACAGGGTGAGGGACTTGGCTGACGAAGTGTATACTCGGTGTGGGTGTACTATTTCAGTAACTCATGGATTACCTTGCGCATGCACCATTCACCGCGTTATTACAGAAGAAAGGGCGTCGTTACATGTTGATCAGGTCCATTCATTCTGGAGGACGCTTGTTATTGGTGAGCATGCAGACACTCAAACGGCCGACCGTGAACAGGAGGAGTTGGAGCAGTTTCGTTCGATGTACGACCGAGTGTCCTCCAGCCATCCTTCTATTATTCGTGACGCTACTCATGTACTTCATGACATGTTCCACCCGTCTACCTTAGATTATGAGGAACCCGAAGGAGTTGACCGTCCTCGAGGTCGACAACGGCGGAACAGGAGTGCGTTTGAGTATATCCGTGGTCTTGGTCGTGGTCGTTCTCGTGGTCGGACATCGTCATCTAGTCGTAGTCAATCTTCATCGTCTGTGAATATGCCCCTGAGAACTGGTACGTTTTGGTTGTTTTTATTGCACATAGTTTTAAAGTGTTACTCCTGCCTTCTTAACTGTCTATAATTATATGGTGAATAGGAAGAAACGATGTTGATCAGTTTCCGTACAAGGAAAGGATACCTGCGATCATCATGTCGTACTTGGAAGGGTGGAATGATGTAATCGGAGATGGTAACTGCGGATTCCGGGTCGTGGCTGATGTTTTTCAAATGGGCGAAGACAACTACGGTTTGGTGCGTCAGTTGATGTACAGCGAAATTGCCTCTAACCGAAATGTTTATCGTCATGTGTACCAGGATGACTTGGATGGCGCTCTGCGGCGTATCCGGTGGGGAGGTGGACCTTGCGGCCAAAATCATTATTTTGACGCGCCCCTAGATCTGTTTGTCGTTGCAAACATTTACAAATGCGCAGTCATGCATTTCGGCCTGGGAGTGCATAGTCAAGATTATTATCCTTTTACCACGGTTCTCCCTTGGCGGTCGCGTGAGACTGTCACCACACCGGTCAGAGAGCTAGCTATTGCGTTTCTTGGGTCGTCATACAGACATTTCATCCGACTAGACATGTCAACCGATTTTCCAGTGCCACCGATTATACCTCGGTGGTACAACATTCGCACAGCGAGCGCAGAGGGTTGGGATGCGCTATATCATGACCGGATCCACGAATGGAACACCCTAGCTGCATTTTAGTTTTTCATGTTTACATTCTTTATTTGTAATCTTATTTGTACGTTGCTCTTTTAATGAGAACATTAATATTTTATATTGTATTGCTTACTGCATTCTATATGTTGCATGGGTAAGTTGCGCGGATCCACGAACGGTTATATCAAAATTTAAAAACAACACTGATAATATGTTTAAGTTGGAAGCTAAAAGAATAATCTAAAATGTTACAATCTTACAACATAATGTCCAACATAATGCTCTATAAATAAAATGACAAAACCATCAGTAATCCCTCCTCGACGACGACTCCCACTGCGCAAGGGTCTGTTCCAGACTATCAACAACAGCTCTCCCTGTTGCACTCATGCTGTCCTTCTCAAGAGAGAGTTTCTGTACGTCATGCATTATCTTTCCCATCCACTACATACAACAAAAAACAGAAGATGAAATACAATAACAACATATAAAACTTAATTAAAAGACAACGATAAATATAATATAAGACATACCGCTTCCGTGGCAGTAGGCGGTGGCACATAATCATCATCGCTGTGGTCGAGATCTGCGATCAACCTCGGGTGCGAATACCGGTTGAACCATTCCATGTAGTAATGGTCACACATGGGAGTAACCCCAGAGGGCGGCCGCTGCAACTCCGCAGTCCATAAGCGGGCCACCATCGGAAACTGGTCCCACGTCCCGGTCATGATATCCGGCCATTGCACGACGTAGTCCCTCGACGATGCAGGTCGGACCGCCTTCATCGGGCATGCCGGGGGAGGAGGGACAACTTGGACAAATCCAAGCTGGCGAAGACAACGCTGGGGCATGTACGCCTCGATGATCTCACGATACTGAATGAGTCCCGTGTACAGGGTCCTGGGTACCCTAACACTAAGGTTCGGGCCGAAAGCCAGTTCACCTGTACAATAACAACATATAAAATTTAATAACATGAATATAATATGTGCAAATAATAAAATGTAGAAACAATTTATAAACGTTACCTCTAAGGGGGACAGCCTGTCCAGCAATAACCGTATCGATCGGAGGCGGTCAACGGACTTCTTCTCCGAGCGCGAACTCCACGCACAAGCACGCGGCATCCCCTCATCAATAGGAACTGGGTCACGATGTGGTCGTAATGCAGGAAAGTACTCGTATATCCAGGTCTGCAATAGAGTCAGACACTCAGTGATACCTGCCGCGTCAGCCCGACTCGCAAATCCTAGTTGGCGATACAAATACGCCAACGTAGCCGATCCCCAGGAAAACTGGCCTACACTGTCGGGGTCACACGCCTCCACTATGTCGCGTGGCCTGAGCTTGTTTCCGCCGCTCTTATCCGGAAACAAGGTACATCCGAGGAGTAGAAAAACATAAGCACTCCGCTGTGCGTCGTGCGTCCTACGTGCACTGGGGTACAAACACCGCTGCAACACGGATGCGATCTTCACACCTCCGTGTTCCCAAACACCTAGCGCCTCGGTGTACAGTGCAGCCCTGTCCACCGCCAACAACTCAGCCAGCAAATCTGCCTGATCCGCATCAGCCACAGCACAAAGTCGTTTACCCTTAACACGAATCCCCAGAATGGCCTCGACGTCATGTAACATGATCGTCATCTCACCGAACGGAAGGTGAAAAGAGTTTGTATCCGGCTGCCATCGCTCAATAAAAGCCGTGATCAGCGTACTGTCAATCTTATCGTGCATGGTGGCAGGAACGTGATTCACCCCAGTGCCCTCCAGTCGCTCGAACATCTCGCTCTCCGCCGGCCAAGCCTCAGCCCATGTACGCAAAAAGCTACAAGTCTTTTCCCGGGTATGACATTTCAACAACCCCGTAACTGAAGGCTTCTCCCGGTCCTCCCAAATACGGGCAGCTATGTGTCCTAGAAAGCTAGGAATCATACTCCCGTCAACAGGCCCACCGGGCACCTCACTCCTAACAACCCAAGAATCATTACCGGCCCTCGACCGTTTCCTGCTTGCCCCAGATACAGTGGACGCAGATGATGTGCCAGATCTACTAACAAACCTACCACCCCTACCCTTACGCACCTCCACCATATGTGTCTCGTACATGTCATCAACCCTCTGACTGAATGGACCGTAATCATCATACGATCCACTGCCATCGTCCACATCCTCATCCTCATCTGCGCCCTCCTCCTGCTCCTCCTCCTGGTCACCCTCCTCAGCATCATCATCGTCATCCTCATCCCGACGGTGGATCCGTTCTCTACGAGCTGAGGCCGAAATACCACGGGATCTGACATGTCTATGCCCCGACCTCTCCACCGAATAGCTTCTACTAAGAAGCTCTACATTCTTCCCCGCACCATGACGACCCAGTAAATTCTACACAAAATTTTAAAATATATAAAACATACAAAAATTTATACGAAAAATAGCTACCACTCCCAAATCAAATAAACTAAAACCATACAAATAATTGTAAACAAAATATAAACATAGAAAAAATATGACAAAATTGAAAAAATTTATAAAAATAAACAACAAAATATAAAAACATTTCAAAAATATATTACACAAAAAAAAAATAAAAAAAAATAAAAACAATATTTTATTTCAAAAAAAAAAAAAAAAAAGGGGGGGGGGGCCGCCTTGGCTGGACGCCCAGCCAACAGTGGTGGCGCCAGCTGCAGACGCTGCCACCAGTGGGCTGGCGCCTGGGCTGGACGCCAAGGCCACGGTTGCGGCGCCTTGAATAAACGCCACAACCGTGGCTATGGCGTCCAGCCCAGGCGCCAGCCTACTGGTGGCGGCGTCTGCAGCTGGCGCCACCACCGCTTGCTGGGCGTCCAGCCAGCGCGCCCCGCCTCCGTCACGGCGGTTTTTCCTTTTTTTTTTACAAATTGTACCTTGCCTCCTTGCGACCTCCTTCCCTCCGCCGCCGCCGCCAATTCCTTGCCTTGCCGCCTCGACATTGCCGTTGTTTGAAATTTTTTTTTTTTTAGAGAGGTTCATAGAAGATGAGCGATGAGAGTTTGAGTGATGAGGGTGTGAGTGTTTTTTTTTAGGTTAAGGGCAATATTGTCACACCAAGTGAATTTTGTGGGCTTTATGTAGTAATTTGTGGGCAATGTTTAACAAATCCCATACCGACATGGGAATCGAAAACTATCTATGGAAGGGAGTCTAAATATTTCTCTAGTAGCCAGGTTCCACATAAACCTGGGCACGGGCCGGGTTGGCCCGCGTGCCGCCCGACACGGCCCGCCGTTCGGCGCAGCCCGGCACGACCCGAATTCAAGCACGGCACGGCACGAAGTTCAACTCCCGTGCCACGGGCCGTGCCACGGACAGGGTTGAGAATTCCCAGGCACGGCCCGGCACGAGCACGGCCATGGCCCGCCGTGCTGGCCCGCAGGCACGGCACGCAGGCACGGCCCGGAACGGCCCGCGGGCCAACGGTAATGTTACCGTTTATTCTAGCTCCTTAATAAGCCAAAAAAACGGCTAAAAACGGCTAGTTTTTTGCCAATTTGCTCCCCAAAAATTCTATAAATACTCACCTCCATTTCATTCCCAAATCACAAAATCACAATCTCTTCTTCTTATCTCTTATATTCTCTAAATCTCTAATAATCCTTATTTTCTTAAATTCTCTAATTATTCTCTTAAATTCTCTAATTATTTTCCTAATATCGGAAAAAAATTAAAAAGTTCGTAATCGTAATTAGTGGAGCGTTGAAGCGCGGTTGTAAGATCTAAACTAATCTTAAATTTATTATTGTTTTATTGTTATTATTAGAATAATCTTGTTTAATTATTATTGTTGTTAATTGTTATTGTTGTTGTTATAATTGTTGTTATTAATTATTATTATTGTTACAATTGTTGTTATTATTTATTTTTGTTGTTATTGTTATTGTTATAGTTGTTGGTATTAATTATTATTATTGATATTTTTATTGTTAAAATTGTTGTTATTAATTATTATTATTATAGTTAACCACTTTTTATTAAAAAATTAATTGTTAATTATGGCATCGAACAACCCATCATCTAGGTCTAGGGGGAAAGGCCGACTTATCCGTAGTAGTAGTTCTAGGGAACCACCAAATACAACGAGCCCCCAAATTACGAGTCAAACCAATGACCCCATTTACTTCCCCCCGGGCTATGAGCCATATAATACGTTGGGATTTCCAGCACCACCACTAAACCAATTTCCACTACCACCATACCAATTTCCACCTAATTATATCGGTGATCAACAAAACTATTGTTCTAGCCAAGGTAGCCAAGAAAGTACCCGAATTCCCTCCGGTTCTACCCCTTCTACTGCCACTCCCACTAGTCCCACTACTAACCATCACACACATCATGAATGGTTAACCGAAACTGAGATGCTACTTTTGAAAAACCGAAGGAGTGAGGTATGGCGTTATTTTGTCCTAAGTAAAGATGGTGAACAATGGGCAAAATGTAAAACATGTAATAGTGTATTCACGGCAGTTACCAAAAACGGGACGGGACACTTATCTAGACACATGGAAGCTTGTGCAAAACCAGCTAGTGATCCAATCCAGCCCAAAATTTCCCAATTCCATCCATACGGCTTTACATACAACTATGAGAGGGATAGGGATGAACTAGGAAAAATGATAGTACACGCCGAACAACCTTTTCTTTTCTCGGAAAGTGACGCATTCAACACCTATATTAACAAAGCACTACAACCCCAACATAAAAGAATCTCTAGGAAAACCGTTCGTTCCGCCGCAATGAAAAATTTCCTAGAGTACAAAGTCCGGTTACAAGCCGAATTGAGTAACCTTAACTGTAGAGTATCTTTAACAGCCGATTCTTGGGATAGTGGTTATAAATATCACTATTTATGTGTGACTTGCCATTGGGTAGATGATCAATGGATGTTACAAAAAAGAATAATACATTTCAAAATGCTGAAATACCCACACACCGGCATTAACATTGCTCACCATTTAATGCAAGCAATAGACGAATACAACCTTCGAGATAAAATGATGTCTATGACTTTTGATAATGCAACCTCTATGACATACACAGCTAATCTTATCAAACAAAACTTAACCGATGCACTATTAGACGGTGAAGCTCTTCATACTAGATGTGTTTGCCATGTACTTAACTTATGTGTACAGGATGGAGTTCGGGCAATTGGCCCATACTACAGCAAAATCAGAGATGCTATTATGTCTATAAATAGCTCTAACATGAGATACCAAGAATGGAAGAGTTTTCTAAAACAACAAAAGATAAGGGTAATAAAAATTAGAACAGATTGCCCAACTAGGTGGAATTCCACCTATGACATGTTAACAAAGGCAATTGAGTACAAGGGCCCGTTAACATTATTTTACAACCAAAAATTTCCACAAAATGCTTTGTATGATGATGATTGGAATAAACGTGAAAGATATATGCAATTTTTACAGTTATTATATAACATGACGTATTGTTTTTCTACTGTTTACAATCCTTGTGCTCAAAACTTTCTTTCTAATGCATGCTTACTCGCCCAACTTTTCGTTGATCATCGCCATCAAAGTGATTATGATCAGTATCTTCCAGCAATGGAAAAAAAGTGGCGTAAATATTATAGTGAGATTCCTTTGATTTATATTTTTGCTTCCATATTAGATCCTAGGCAAAAGTATGAAAACACATTTATGTTAGTTGACATTTACTTTCAATGCATGTTTCTTGACGATGATGTAGAAAACTATAAGACTAATGTGAAGGATCAGTTTTTTGCTTTATATAGAGTCTATGAAGCCAAATATGGCACCGTTCTTCGCTCAGGGCCTTCCCAACCATCCAAAAACGTAAGTAAGAAGGCCAAACATTTATTTTCACAAGCTACTAACTTGATTTCAAGGTTTTCAGGTGATTCATCAATCAGGAGAACGCAAAGCGACGTCTCGGAGTTGCAGATGTACTTGAGTTACGACTTCACCAAAGGCATGGACGACGATGAGATAAACAGCCTCGACCTCCTTGCATGGTGGAAACAACAAAGCTCGAAGCATCCAACTTTGGCGGCAATGGCACGAGACATTCTTGCTATCCAAGTTTCCTCCGTCGCCTCCGAACGAGCTCTCAGCGCATCCGGAAGGGTTTTAGACGATAGAAGAACAAGTCTAAAACCCGAAACACTAGAAATGTGCGTGTGTTTCAAAGATTGGTTGGATGCGGAAAATCGCTCACAAGACCGTTTTTACGACCACAACGACAACGAAGAAGGAACCTCCGCTTCCGGTTCGGGTTCGGCTAGTTCCCAATCTATGCAACTAGCCGATGACCTTGAAGGCGAAGGCGAAGACGAAGACGAAGACGAGCAAGAAGAAGGAGAAGAAGAATAGACAATTATTGTATATTGTACGATTTTAAAAATATCAATTTTATCATTTTCCAATTTTTGTTTAATACCATCATTGTATGATTTTTATCATTGTTATCATTGTACAATTTTCTCAACTCAAGTAATAATAATATAAAGTACGCACTATTCACATCCAAAGTCTAATTTGCCTTTTTTCCCCGTTTTGTTACAATTTGTAAATTCATATTAAAAAAAATAAAATTATACCAATTACTAATAAATCATAAACATTAAATTTTAAAGTAATAGTATAAAGTAAATATATAATATAAATATTGAATATACAAATTATAAAACATAAATATTCAACTTATAATTATAAAATTCATAACTTAATAACTTATAACTTATAAGTTATAACTTTATAAAACTTATAATTATAATTTTATAACTTATATACATTATAAACTTATTAATTTATAATGTTGTTAAAAATATATATATATATATATATATATATATATTTGAAAACTGCACCAGCCCGCAGGCCGGCACGTGGCCGACACGGCACGAGCCCGCCAGGCACGAGGGCCGTGTCGTGCCGTGGGCTGGCCTGTGAAAATGGCCGGCACGGCACGGCACGAAATCCTGGGCCCGCCGGCACGACCGGCACGTCACGAACCAGCTCGTGGCCCGCCAGGCACGGCTCGCGGCGGCCCGGCCCGGCACGGTGCCCAAGTTTTCCACATAATAAACACAAATTCATCTTTGACGAAAGAGACAAGGAACATGCCATTACAAGGGTCGTAAATGCGGAATTCAGAAATTACATCACGATGATAGAAATTAAACCGAGCTGGGTCATAATCAATGGCGGGTCTAAGTTGAAGGTAGTTTCAAAAGCGAGGTTTTTGTAAGATAAAATTGAAATGGAACAAGCTGGTGGATATAGGATTAATACCGAATCATTTTCATCATGATTTTGCAAAACACGAGTAGCATAGTGTTTGGTTGCTAATTTAGGTGATGAGATGATATCAAGCCAATACTTACATACAATAGTGAATCGGATCAACGACTTCATTGGTAATCGAGCCAGGATCTCTATCAAAGCATCCCCTTGCAATTCCATTTTCCTATAAATTACAAATTCAACTTGTTCATTATAATTATTGCAAATAATTTAAACCATTAATTAACAAATAAAAGTTAAGATTCTTACCAATCCCAATTTAAAATCAACCAATTTGATGATAATATACAACTTATACAAGTGCAACAGATTCTGAGAAAGAGGCAAATTGAAGGAGCTTGGAATTGAAATTAGGGATTGGAAGAAATAAAAGTATGCAAACCTAAGGTAACATTTATGTACTGTATGTTCAATTGCCAAAACGCCTTTACCATTATGGGTCCAGAAATTGTAAATTGGCCTCAAAGGCCCAATAGTATAAAAGCTTCTAAATTGCCAAACAAGTTACTAAATGATCCAAATTTATACGACTATTTTTTTTTGTTTTTTTTTTAATGGAATAGGGAGGGTTGATTCATTAAATAACTAGGTTAGTCCCGTGCGATACACGGTTTTAATAATAAAAAAATTACTTGTTAGTGTGAAATATAAATATTTTAAGTAAAACTTAACAAATTGTTAGATTAATTGAGCTAAAATGAAGGACATGATGTTAAATATTCTAATTATCTTCATAACTATAGTAAAATTTTAAAAATATTAGCGTTCGTTTTTTATCATTATAGAAAATTTGAAGAATTAATAAAGACTGAAAAATTCAAACTCTACAATCACTAATAAAATGTAGGAGATTGTTTATATATATATATATATATATATATATATATATATATATATATATATATATATATATATATATATATATATATATATATATATATATATATATATATATATATATATATATATATATATATATATATACTATGTAGCAGGAAAAAAAAAAGTGAAATAGACTAATCGTCAATTATTTTTACTCAATAGGAATATAAATTGTATATTTAGTTTAGTTATAAAAGATTTTAGAAAAATGTATAATTAATCTATCATTTTCAAATATTAGTTAAATCTTGAAATTAAAAAAAAAAAAAAAAAGAATGATGTCAATAATAGTTTTGGAGGGAAAATTTATTCTTAAGAAGTTGCCACATGGATAGTTATGATGTCAGCGGTAATTACTTTAATATTTTTTTTATAGATAATAGCCATTCAGCACTTACAATCATCCCTTAAGAGATCTAAATTCTCGATACAAGAATTAAATTCTTTGTTTTCTTTTAAATACAGTACAAGTTATGCAATATACTTTTTGGACATTTTGTTTTTTTTTTTGGGTGTTGATTAAAATAAGTAAATGAGTGAGTTTTACAAAATAATTTGAACACCATGATTACAGAAGGGTTAGGTAGTACGTGTATGAATTAATTTTATTGATTTGTCTGTTTACATTGTCTAAACTCTTACTCAAATTAGGGGTGAGCACGAATCGGATATCCGTATCCGAAAATCCAGATATTTGATATCCGATATTCGATCCAAAAATTTTGAATATCCGATTTTCGGATATCCGAAATTTTCGGATCGGATAACCGGATATCCAATATCCGACCCTTTCTATAAATTGCTTCTATATTTCCTTAAAAAAAATTGCTTCTATAATCTATATATGGCTGCTCTATGCGATTGTGCTCTTGTTCGCCCAACAATACCAACAATCGGCATGCAGCCACCACGCACCAAGCAATGAAAATCTGAAATGTATAATCCAAAATTACAAAAATGATCAATTATCTAAAATTTTGAACTAAACTTAATATAATCTAAAATTACAATTATATAAAAAAAATGCAAGTAATTAAAATCTGAAATTTGAAAAAAAAAAACTACATCCAAATTCTAACCTAAATTAAATTAGATCTGAAATTACAGCCTCGTCGGTGTCGGTGTTGCTGTTGGCCACAATTTGTGTTATTGTTGGTCGTTGTTGGGAACCGCCGGTGTTGCTCGGTGTTGCTGTTGGTCGCTGTTGGCAACCGCCGGTGTTGCTCGGTGTTGTTGTTGTGGAGTATGGACATAAGAGGATAGAGAAGAAAAAAAATAAAAAATGCAGTATGGTCGTATGGAGTTAAGAGGAGAGAGAAAAAGAAAGGGAGAGAAAAGGAAGGAGAGAGAAAAGGGAGGAGAAAGAAAAGATGCGTGACAGAGGAGAAAAGGGAGGAGAGAGAAAAGAAATGGGCGGCTGTAATTTAATTAGGGGTTTTTTTAAAGAATGGGAGGTATTTTTAAGTTTGCTACTTTCGGATCATTTCGGATATTCGGATATCCAAAATCCGAAATTCCGATATCCGATCCGAAAATGTTTTTGGATCGGATGCGGATCGGATTTTTGGATTTTCGGATAATCAGATAGTTTGGCTCAGCCCTACCTCAAATTGCGTAATGAGAAAGTGTGTGACATTTAAAAGAAAACGGATGAAGTATAAGAGTAATATGACTCACTTCCAATTAAAGAAAGTTGGAACATGTGTAACATTTTTTTTTTTTTTTTTTTTTTTTTGGATTTGTGAAATTTGGATTGAAACAAATGCAACAATATCATTCGGTGCCGGGGTGTCAATCTAGTATACTATTCAGTTTCGGGTTTGAGTTTGGTTTGTCGGTTTTCAGTTTATAACGGGTTGAAACAATTAATGGATTGATTATAGTTGGTTTTAAATGTTATTGGGTCGGTTCGGTTCGGTTTGGGTAATTTTTTTTATTGAGGTTTCTATTCTAGTCAGGTCCTAACCAGGTTGAGTTGTAATTGGTTTGAGTCATAATCAATCTGGATTGAATTGGGTCGGTTTGAAAATGGATTTTACCAGTATAAAGCGGGTTTGTGGTCAAATTAGATCCGGTCCTAATCGGGTCGGAATGTAATCAATTCAGGTCCTAATCGGTAGTGGTGAGCAAAAAATCAGGGTACCCTGAATCGGAACCAAAACCTGTACAAGAGATTTTGGTTCCGAATAATAAAATTGAGAACCTGTTGTAACAGGTTCTGGTTCAGGTTCTCAATTTTTTGGAATTAGAACTTGTAGAATACTTTATAACCTAATAAAATATATAAATTAAGTCCAAATCATACATCAATTCAAGCTTAAATTAAAAAAAATAATAATAACAATTTATAAATATACTTATTAAATTTGTCAATTATTGAGATTTAATTTGCTCCATTAGTGAGTTGTAAGAGCTTTAAATTTTTGATTAACCATATTTTTTTAAAATAATCTTTTAAAAAAGTACTAATTAAATGAAAAGTCAGGGTACCCTGAACCTGAACTTGAACTAGAACCTGCAAGTTCCGGTTCCGGTTTTCATTTTCCAGGAACCTACGGAATATAGTTTCCGGTTCCATGAATTTTAACAGGGTATTCTGTTACGCTCACCCCTAACAATCACACTACTAGAAAACAGTTAATTAACGACGGAAAAAATCCGTCGGAAAACCCAGAAATTCCGTCGGAAATGGCCATTTCCGACGGAATTCCGTCGGAAAGCATTGGCGGAAGACCCTTTGTAGGTATTTTGCGATATTCCGTCGGAAGAGACCTTTCCGACTGATTTTGTTTTGTCGGCGCTTTTGTTGACTTTAAGTTAAATTCCGTCGCAAGGTTCCGACGGAATTTCCCGTCGGACTGGGATATTTTCCGACGGAAATCTCCGTCGGTGGGGAAATTTTCCGACGGAATTTTCCGTCGGAAGAGGTGAATTCCGACGGAAAATTCCGTCGGAAAAGTGAATAAAAAAAAACACCACAATCCCCACCCAGAACCACCCTGGCCACCAGCCCACACCACCCACCACGTCCCAGACACCCCCACCCCACCCCTGACCCACCCAGAACCAGACCCACCCCACCCTACCCCTGACCCACCCAAAACCAGACCCACCCCACCCCACCCCTGACCCACCCCCACCCACACACACCCTACCCCCGCCACCACCCACCACCCACCCCACACAGATCTATAAACCACCCAAACCACCCACCACCACCGAATTCGACCCAAAAAACCCAGAAATCAACCCAAAAAAACTCGAAAATTTCAAAACAAGAAAACCCAGAAATTCGAACCACAAAAAAACCCAGAAATTTAAAAAAAAAACGAAAAAATTTGACTCAAAAAACCCCACAAATTCGACCCAAAAAACCCCGAAAATTTCAAAATAAGAAAACCCAGAAATTTGAACCACAAAAAACCCAGAAGTTAAAAAAAAAAACGAACAAATTCGACCCAAAAAACCCCGAAAATTTCAAAACAAAAAAAACCCAGAAATTCGAACCACAAAAAACCCATAAATTTAAAAAAGTCGAAAAAATTCGACAACTTACCTTGAATTTCATCAAAACCCTTAAATTAGCTTGAATTTGGGTTTTAAAGGTCAAATTCGACCATGAAAACTCTAGATCTAGGATTTTCATGGTCGAATTCGACATGAAAAACCTTGAGAAGGCGGTGGTAGTGCGGTGGTTGCACAACGACGGTGGTGCTTGGCGTTGGTTGCACAAAGGAGAGAGAGAAGGAGGAAGGAGAAGGAGGAAGGAGAAACAAAGGAAGGAGAAGGAGAAGAGAGAGAAAGAGAGGGCGAAGGAGAGAGAAATGAAGGAAAGAGAAGGAGAAGGAGAAGAGAGAGAAAGAGAGGCGGATCTGAGAGAAGGAGGGAGGTTAGAGAAGGAGAAGAGAGAGAAAGAGGAGAGGGGAAAGTTCATGAAAGTTCCGCTTTTTTTTTTTATATATATATATTATAAAGTTCCGACGGATAAAAAATCCGTCAAAATGTATGGGTTTTCCGAGGGATTATTCCGTAGGAAAATTCCGACGGATATAAATTCCGTAGGAAAACTAACGTTCCGACGGAATATTCCGTCGGAAGCCTAACATTCCGAGGGAATTAATTTCCGTCGCAAGAATTCCGAGGAATTTTTCCGTCGTAACGACCCGTTCCGATGGAATTTTCTGACAGATCCGAATTCCGTCGGAAAGTTCGGAATTTCCGACGGAATTTACGTCCGTCGGAATGATTCCCTCGAAAAACGGCCTAGTTCTAGTAGTGTCAATTTGGGTTGAACTGGGTTGTTTTGAAAACGGGTCTTAGTTAAAAATAAATTGAGTGAAATCGGATCAGGTCATTATCAGTTCAAATCATAAACTATTTAGGTTGAATTAAGTCGGAAAACAAGTTTCATTAAAAAAAAAAAAGATCGGATGAAATCGGGTCGAGTCATTATCGGTTCAAATTATAGTCGAATTAGGTTGAACTAGGTCGGTTTAAAAATGGGTTTACCCAGTTTGAAGCAGGATTCGGTTCAAATGATCATCGAGTTT